AGTTTACGTTCATTATAAACTAAATCATATGCAAGGCTCCGGGCAAGCTCCTACTTTGCTTGTGGAGCGCAAGGTGGATATCATCGGGCACGACCGTCACACCCAGGTGCAAAAGGCACGGTGACTTGTGCGTAAATTAGTTTGTAGTGGTAGTAGACTTGCTCAGCATCTACCAAACTCTCTCTTAACCTCTCCACACCTGGATCCGGTGTCAAGACGGGATCGAGATAATCGGAGGTGGGCGGAGGACGCAGGTGGATGGCACGGCCGGAGCCGCACCTAGGCGTGCCACCACACCCCCCTGGTCCACACGGCAAATGACCGGGATTTTTCACCAACAGCAACAATAAAAACACCCCAGCGGGGGTCAGAAGGACGAGGACGACTGGGCAGCGGTGCCTACCACCTGTATACACAGCGGGAGCGCAAGCGCGTCTACCGGCGGGGAACTAGGTGTCAGGGAACTAACAGCGCACACCAGGCTATGAGGGCCATGGTTTTCTGATACTGGCATAGCACACGCTTATGTCCTACTTACATATCTGCGCACGACGGTCGAACACCGCCCTGGCGACTGTGCTGAGGATGGTCAGAATGGTTGTCCTTGGGAACTTTTAATCGTCAGGGTGCAGACTTCATCACCACATCGTGTCATACTAACATATATGCGTACACACACCCTACAATACAAAAGTAACCTACCAGATGGTACACGCGTATACGACACCTCAACGCAACACAGTGTACATCACTCCTAGAGCACGTATGTGATTCACGTTGCCAGCGCAGATATGGCGGTCGAAACACCGCATGTACGAACATGCACATCGTACTTACACCGGAAGCCTGTCACTTGACTCAGTCTGGTATGTGTGGAGCAGGGAGCAAACTATCTGCAGCAAACGTACACGAGCCCTTTAAACTTGCCTGTCACTGCACGCACTCCAAACACATGTTGTTTGACAGGCTCAGACAGGCTCCTGGCCCGTGACATAATCGAGGCCGGCTAGATCGGACATGCTCGCAACTGTAACGATCTCAAGTACATACAACAGTTCATCCGTCGTTACTGACGATGTCCATCGTGTGCTCCACAGCAGGCTGAGAGCAGTAACAGTGAGCTGCAAGTGAAGTCGTTTATAGGGATAGTAGACTTGCATAGCACCTACCGCACTCGCTCTTCTCCAACTGACCCCAGTATCATGGCCGAGTCAAGGAGACCGGAGGTGGGAGAAGGTGTGGGCGGCTGGCACGGTGTAAACCTGTAATTAGGTGTACCACCACACACCCCGGTCCAAAACAATTTTGCATAACGACCGCAGCTCATTCGACGAGATTCGGCCACACATTCAAATTCGACGAGGCGGAAATTCTTGCTAGAGGTAACAACCACATGAGCCGGTAGCTACCTGAATCATGGTTTACTGGCCCCCAGTCCACTAGCAAGTCTAATGAACTTCCCCTTCCATACTCGGTGCTGAGACTTCGTCTAGGCGGAGTAATTAGCCACGCAGGGAGCGCACAAGTGAACACTTTTTCCAACTCCAGGGCCGGTGGATCAGATGGTCGAGCAATCATCACACCAACACCCAACGCACGTGATGAAATTGCAGCAATTAACTACGAGAATTTCGGCCATCAAACAATTAGCACACCAAGTGCGACGATCCCGGACAATGGGGGAGCCGTGAATGTTCATAGGTATTCGGTGGCATGAAGACTGAATCCTATAAATACTGCAGCCTCTTGTGCATGAAACACCCGTATCTGCTTTTTTGTCCCTGATGATGGGTTCGAGCAGGAATCCGACACGTCAGGCTAATAAAGATCTTGCCCCAGTGACCGTGTCTCCTTATTCATAACGACCACATTCAATTTTCTCCCCCACCTGGGCCCGCTGTCATGAAAGAGTCAAGAGGACCGGAGGCGGAAGAGGGCCCAGGTGGTTGGCAGGACGAATATCCACACTTTATCGCATGCCACCGTGAAGTAGGGCACTCGGAGGACGTCGATGGGGTCGGAGCCTCAGGAGTGTGATTATCGGTGGTGAGGAAGGTCGTCGTTGTGAGCTTCGTAGGGGTTGGCGCAGGGGTGGCGATGTGGGTGGTTGTGGAGGCCGCAGTTGGGGTCGTTGTCGCAGCGGGTGCCGAAATTCCGTTGTATTCAAGAGACAATTCGCGGAACACACGCAAGCGACGCTTTGAAAAAGTTAATTTGATGCAATGAGCCGGGAGTTTCGCTACATTCTGTCAAAATATAATACTTTTTTTCGCGCTCGAACGAGGCTACTTCTGTTTCTTATGACAACTGAGGACGAAGGGGGCGAAGGAGATCGGAGGTAAGCTTTTTACTCTACAAAGGATTAGTATCTCGCTAGGAGTTCCGAATGGTTAAACCATCGCTGTGTAAGCGATGGCAAGCGTGAAAAAATGGTCCCTGAAAAAGTGGACGGGTGTCATCACACCATTTCCCGACAAGAACCACAAGTCTTAATGGCAAGGGCAAGGGAGGCGGTGACGTTCACATATGACCGTCCCCCAGTCAAGAGGGAAGAACAAATTTCACTCCAAGGTGGCTTTAAATACTTCGATCGTAGAAGGCAAAACGTGAGTTCTTAGCTCGAGCGATAAGGATTCTGGCTCTTTGACCAGTAAACCAGAGCTGAAACCGTACTTTTCCTGGCCTGGAGAGTGACTGCCTGCGGATGGCCAATGAAAATTGTCAGCAACACTTCTTGATAGAATATTTTCTATCGATTTAACAACAACCCTGTGGCATTTTTTATCAGTGTAATACTCGAAGCAATATTTACCCGGAATAAATTTGAATCAGGCATATACAGCAGAATTTATTGGAACCAGTAAATTTCGCGACGGCTTATCGACTGCAGCCTGTCGTTGCATAACACAAATAACAAGTGAGAAAGGTAAAGAGGTTTGCACTTCGACAGAGAAAATCAATGTAAAACAGCAAGGTCATCGTATACTGCACGTAGACTAATAAATAAAATGGTAACTTCAAAACGAAACATAGGAAAGAAATTGGGGAAGTAAACACGCCGAGGGATTTCGAAAATCAAAAGGTACTCAGGTCTTCCAGGGCAAGCTGAGGTTGACCACGTGGTCTAACTGGTTAAATAGGTCGGGTTTCTCCCGCCGTATGCAGGCTGCCTCCAGGTAGCGCAATAACCGGGCAGTTCGTGCTCGAACTAATACTCGAAAAGACGTTTTGGGGTCAACCGAATGACCACTATCAAGGTGATGTTTTGTAATAGAAGACCATGGAATCCTAGTCTCCTGGTTTAGAAGCCATTTAGGCAGGTGCTCAACTGCCCTGGCTGCCAGTTACATTTGCGTTCGCCCAATGTACTTGAATCCACAGTGCATGTGAATCCGTAAACACAATTTGACGTGGCGTGCAATGGCAAGGCATCCTTTACCCGTGGAACTTGGATTACCTTAGTAGGACTGCAGAATATGAGTTCAGCTGAGTTGTAAGTTTTTTCAGTAGCGCATCTCAATCGCCGCTTGATGGTATTAGAAATGTTGTCGCCCTTAAAGGGTAAAGATATTATAAGGGGATTTTTCGGAACTGATTGCTTCGTCAATTTTGGCCGTGAAGTGTTGCTATACTTTTCGATGAATCGTGTTGGATATCCCCGTTTAAGCAGGGCTGTTTTGAGGCAAAAAACTCATCATCCAGCATTTCAATAGAGCAAATGTTTCTTGCTCTTTGAAATAGAGTGTAAACCAAATTTCGCTTTCGTTGTATCGGCACAAAGCTCAAGAAGTGCAGGTATTGGCCTTTCCATGTATCCTTCCGGAAAGCAGATCGCCTTATTGAACCATCTTCCTGTCTAGTCCTGAGGACATGCAAAAAAGAAAGCTTGTTTCACTGTGAATTTAATCTTAGGATGGAGACTGTTCATGGCAACAAGCAGGTCTTCGGTATTATCGTCGTTTTTGAGAGAGAGAGAGGAATGCGCTTTATTTTGAAATCGTATGTTCAAAATTTTCAGCAAAAATTGGATCCATTCACTATGGGCAGAAATAAGTTAATAGATTATTCAAGAGTCAAAGTTTAACACAAAGAAACGATTATTATGGGGATAGTTCAAGTCCTAGTTTCTGTATTTCCGTCTTTTCGCACGTAAGATAGCGCGCTAGGAATGGCAATAAAGAAGCTCGATAAGCCGATGTGCGACAGAATATAAGTCGGAAGTTGCGGCGCATCGGGCGGGAAGACTTGGCAGACATAAGATCGGAATGTAGGGGATGGGCAACGTCATCTAGAATTCGACCAGCAAATTGCTTGACCGCATTGAAGTGTCGTTGTAAGATAGTGTCAACTAAAAAATATAAGAAACACCAGCAGCAGAAGAGAGCATGCGGAAGACTCGTTTCAAAATTAAAATATCCTTTGTTAGCAAAGCAGGAAAAATGACAGGAGAACAGTATAGGATAAGAGGAAGAATGCAGGCATCAATGAACCGCCAGACTAAGGGTTGAGGTGTGTGGTAGGAACGTAAACGACGTATATAGTAAAGAAGTTTACGAACTTTAATAAATAGGGACTCAATATGAAGGGAAAATGAAAGATTTGAGGACAAAGTAACGCCGAGATACCTGAAAGAGGATACTTCGTTAGAAAGAATGTCAGAGGAATCAGGGTTAGGAGAGGGCCGCAGTCGAAAAATACACTGAACGGATTTTTAGTTGTTAATTAGGAGACCATTTTCCTCCGACCACGCTAGGACATGGTTTAGGTAATCTTTTAGAGACCGGAGGTGTGTCTGACTTTTGAGAGGGTGTCCAACAATCACATCGTCAGCATACTTGACCAGAAGACAGTCATTAGGGGACCTGAGATCATCAGTGTGATCATCAGAGATCATCAGTTATCAACAATAGCAAAAATGTCGTCTACATATCCTTTGTACAGTGGTTTCCTATTCAATTTTGCTGACAACTTTTCTTCTAAGTGACCCATAAAAATGTCAATTAGGCTTGGACCAAGTGGACTTCGCATTTGTCGTCAGTATCGTAAAGTTCAGTCTTGTCTCGTCGTTTGTCGGCGGGCAGGGTGACGATATCCTTCATTTTTCGTATCTTCGGAAGTTCTCGATCTTCTGCTTTAGAAATCGTCATCTGGCGTTTGTGTTGGAGGAGTAAGGTCGATACTTGTTGTCGCATGGCGTTTTTGCACTCCTCGTCTGCCTCACACTTCTGGAGCGCCGATTCAAAGGATGCAATAAAGTCTTCTGGTTGAGCATCTCTTGTGCTGAACTTCGCGTCATAGGATAGAACCACTAGTTGTTGCTGAGTGAAACGATGAGAGGACAAGTTGTGAACCAAGGCACCGTCAGCAGAGGTCTGCTTTGGCAGACTTATTTTCTCAAATGTTCCAGACAACTGGTCATCACGTAACTGGCGGTGACGCCGAGCGCTGTCGAGAATTGCCGCTTTGAGGATCCCCAGCTCGTGTGCCGTAAAGATCGACTGGCAAGTTGACGAATGATGTTCAATCATCTGGCGGTACTTGTGGATGCGGGCGTGGCAGTCTCGTATCAGTACCCTGATCATTTTCTTCTTGAAGTCTGCCATCGTCCGTCGGCAAAAGTCAGTGTTCACAGGCGGTCTATATCTGAGGCATTTCGGTAGGACGTCCTCATCAAGGCACCTATGCAGGAATTTCAGCTGAGCGTAGGTGGAGGACTCCCGCTACGCGAAGGTCTCCCATCTGCGTGCTGAGCGAAGGGCTGTGCGCCCATAGCGTACATCGATATGCGTAAAGATTCGAGGTCCAGACATTGTATCGCGTTCATCATCTCCCGAAGAAGACGAAGAAGAAGGGAGGGCGAATCCATGGACCATATTGTATTCGAACTGACGTTTCGGAAACTTCCTCGTTTCCGTCATCAGAGTAGCGTAATTGTTGCACTTGCGGGTCTTGAGTTATTCAGTCTTGCTGCTTGCCTCGTATTATAGTCGTGCTTGACGCACGAACTTTGACCCGCTTGTTTGCCGCTGACTAGCTTAGACCTCCCCGGGGCTGACCGCTGACAGGCCTGTGTGATCTTTGTTTCCTTTGGGGTCGGCGTAATTGTGGTCAAATCAACGTGCCGCTTGACTTCTCCCCCGTCAGCCGGTGGACTGACCGGTTATTACTGTTCAGGTGAGCAGCAATCAGCTTCGCGGGCGCATCGGTGAGACGGTGTTCGGCTTTGGTCACATGGTCTCCGGTCACCAACTCCACTCTTTTCCTTGAGCACCGACTCCCGGTCCCGTGTGATCACTTGCCTTACTGGTCCTGTGCGGACTGATCCGAGTCTTGTACGCAGCGCCTGATAGGCTGAATGTAGATTTACAGGTCGGTTGAGTATGCCAATCGGGGACCAACTTTCGAGCACCAGTCTGGCCATCTTCTCATTGGCTCGACCAATTACCCTCGCTTTCTCAAAGGCAAAATCGTGGTTCAGTTCTCGTATGTGGCCATAGACCAAAGACAGCTTGTCCTTGCGGTTGATTGCAGGTGGGTGTTCGTGCAATCTTGTACCGAGGCGCTTGCCCGTTTCACCAACATACCTCGTATCGCCATTTAGGCATGGCATGCTGTAGACCACCGCTGACTGTTCTGTTGTCGGTAGCGGGTCTTTGGGCTTCATGATTTGCTGTCTGATGGTGCATTCTGGTTTATGAGCCACGCCAATCCCAAGTGGCTTCAGGATTCTCGCCGTCGCCTCTGATACGTTCTTTACAAATACCCTATAGTACCTATCCTGTGGCGGTATTGATAGCTCGTTCCAACTACCGAAAGATAGCACCGCCAATCAGACCCATTAAAAAGTCTCAGGTTGTAAGTTCACAGAGAGAAAAGTGTTCTCTCCAATCGTGGTTAGATCTGAGACAATGTTGGTGCTGGTTTCAGTGCTTGTGACTTACGCGGTGGCGGAAATTGTTTGCAATTCCGGTATTTTAGATGGTCTGTCCACAATTCCAGTCTTTCATCCGTAACCCCACAAAATAACGTGTTGTTATTTCGATACTGATGAGCAAGCCGGATAACGATCACCGTGTGATAGGGTGGGGCACCTTGTTGTTTACGATGGACGAACTTCGTTCGACCGGCCATTCCTAACACCGCGTATATTTCTTTGGACTTGCCTACACCTCTCACACGAGCTAACTGGAATGTACTTTGTTCATTTCAAAATTTGAGATTAGGAATTTCCAGCCAGTGGAATTAATTTTTGCGGGGATGGGGAGCCATAAGGAAAATGCATCTAGAAATTGTTTCTTCCTGCTGACTGTCGGGCATTTTCCGGAGCTCCCCGACAGATTGAATGTTTTCTGCGTATGGCACGCTCGTAAAATCAAACGATTTTCATTGTGAAAGTGTGCTTCATTATGAACTAGCATTTATACAGCGGCTCCAGTAACCTCCGTATGTTCATCAGTTCTGGCATTAAGGTCTGATCGTGGACGTTTTTCGCTTTGTGCCACATGGCCACAAGATACTTCACCACTACCAAATCGAGCGCACTCACACCCATGTAACATGAGGCTGCGTCTAGGAGAGCCTACGCACAATCTGCGTGTGTGACTTTTGTTATGGGGCACAATAATCGAGTCCGCGGTTTGTTCTAGTGCGGGCCGTTGTGGGCCCAATCCAGATATGCAGGTCCTTGAAATAAACTGACGCGTTGAGCATCGCTGCAACGTTAAAACCAAGCAAATGTCTATGAAACGACCAGTAGGTGGGACAAAACGACCAACTCCTGTGAAAACGGCTGTTTTTGGATTCTGTTGCTACACCAGCTGATACACAAGTCCTGAATCAGGCCAGCAAAACACGCTGTAGAATCTATCTGAATGTTTCGAAAACAAAGAATTCGAGTGGCCGTTCTCACAGAACGGACACGCACAGGTGTCTGCTGTGGGATTTGCGTACTCATAAATAAATGCATATGAAATCACCCGCACAACTCAAGGGAGGTGAGAAAAAGACAGTAGATTTTATGAAAAAAGTCACTTTTCGACCCATATGTCATCCATGTAATGGTGATAGTGTATTCAGCAAGGATCGGTTACGCTGTCCGTGTCCCAAGTGTAAGCCCAATGGGAACGCGTTGGGAGGAAAATAAGCCTAAGGAGGATGCTGAAATCGCTAGTGGGAAAGTAGCCGAAGCTTTAACGGAATAGAGCAACCTGATGTAGGGTGATTCTGACGCGAGAATGATTGAAGCCTGGAATTCCAGCAAAAAACCTGGCTGACAGGACTAGAGGGACAACAGTGCCCCCAAATTAACGTTATTTCGTACCGCAACCTATAAATCATACCTAAACCTTAGCGTAATTATAAACCTAACGATTACCCCAGACCCAACACTAAACCTAAGCCTAAACCTAACGCGATCCCCAACCCTAACCCTAACATTGACACTAACCTAAATCCTAACACTAATCTTAACTGTAATCGGTATCCGAACACTGACCCGAACGTCAGCCTTAACGCTCAGCATAAACCTAAACTTTAATCTAAACCCCAACCTCAACCGTAAACCTAATTCTAACCCTATATCGAACCCGAACTCCTAAATTTAACATAAGCCTTAACTACATAGTCACTTCTGAGTCGGATAATAACCCAAACACTTAAACGGCAACGATATAGTGAAGGACCCCATATAACTGCCCGTGGACTTTGGATAGAATTGGCCGGTTTTACGGGAGAGGCAGCACGCCCGACAGTAAGCTGACAAAATCCAATAAAACACAGAAATTTCTATCTTACGCTTTTGTATAACAAAGGGCCTGAGTGAGTTAATTAAAAATAAACAAAAAGCAATTTTTTTAAAAAAACGGCGTTTGAGTACTAGTTTGAGGTCATAGGAGGTAATTGCTTTTGGCAGTCTAATACCTGCAGCGATCTGCTAATAGATGCCCACATTAAACGTCACGTGACGCGATTTGCAGTTTACCGACAGACAAGTGGGCTCCTTCAGCATACCTTTACCCCTAAAACTAACCCAAATTCTAAACGGAAACATCAGGTTGCTCTTTTCCGTATTAACTTCTCCAACTTTCCCAGTAACCGTTTCAGCATCTCCCTTCGGTTCAATCTACTTCCAATGCACACATTGCGCTTAGACTTGAGATCTGAACGGCGTAACTGATGTTTATGATGTATGATGTGGACATCACTTTAACGTCAGAACGCAAGACAATTCTGTCAATCCTTGCTCACAATTAATTTGGTACGGCTACTGTTACCTCGGCAAAACGACATCGATGTCGCTTTTGACAATAAACTCTACTTTTAGGCCAAAATTAGTTCGCCAATCAGTGTGATCTTAATAAAATCGAAAATACCACTCGTTAGACAAGTCATGATGATTAAATGCTCTCTGACTTCTAACTTGGACTACAGTATGAAATAAGCATACTCCTTCACAGAATGTAGGCTGCGGCTCGCGAATTTTTGACGCTTTTAAACTCCGACCAGGTCGTCGAATGCTACAGAAAGTGTACTAAACAGGCTGTGTATTTGAAGGCATTTCTGCCGTAAATGTTGGTACGATAATTCGGTAGGGGGTCGGTCACGCAGTCCTGGTTCCAAATGTAAGCGTAGTGTGGGCATTGGAAGTAAAGTAAACCGAAGGGGGATGCTAAAATCGTTGGCGGGGAAAGTAGTCAAAGTTAAAGCGAAAAGGGGAACCTGATGTTTCTTTATGGAGGTAGGGTTTTGGTTAGCGTCAGGCTGAGAATTGAGTTAAGGGTTTGTGTTAAGTTTAAAGGTTCCGGTTAGAGTTAGGATTTGGATTGCGGTTCAGGATTACTTTTAGTGTTAAGGTCGGGGTTAAGGTTAGTGATAGGGTCAGGGTAGGGTTACGGTTAAGGTTAGGGTTTGAGTTACGGGCAAGGTCAAGGTTAAGGCTAGGCTTAGGGCTATGGATAGGGTTTGTGGTAGGTTTATTGTTGTGGTTAGTGTTGAGTTTGAGGTTAGCGTTAGGTTTATAAATACGTTAAGGATAAAGTTGTCTTTTGAGGTTACGGTTAGGATTGCCGTTAGGTTTGGGTTATTGCTGCTTGTGTGTCCTCTCAGCCAGGTCATTTTGGGGGTTTCTAGGCTTCCTTCAATCTCGCGGCCGATTTGTCATTCATCAAGTTGCCTTTCCCGTTTCAGCTTCGGCTACCCTTCTCACTAACGATTTCAGCATCCGCCTTCGAATTACTTTACTTTCAATGCCCACGCTGCGCATACGCTTTGAACAAGGGCAGCGTACTCGACCCTTGCTGATAATTCAAAAATAAAGCGTATATATATATATATCTAAGCAGCTCTGGTCGGAATGTTGGCACCAGTTTTATATTCAACGTCCACCTCATCAGTAGTAAAAGAATTTACGCACATAATTGGCCTTCGGTTATGCCTACAAAAACAATTTCGCCTACGATCATGACACTTTGCAGGTTTGGCTTCCTTCTTGGCACTATTGTCATCGACAATGACATTTGAAAACTACTTAAAACGTCGAGGTGGCAAGTTTGCCTCTAGAACCTATCCGTTTCAAATTTCCGCTTAACCACGTCATAAGTATAGCTTCATCGCACTTTTGTGGTGCACTATTACCCCAGTGGATCATCTGAGTTACGCGCCATCAACAACATCGACATAGGTTGTGACTGCGTCCATTCCTTTAATAAATAACAGTATTTCATATCTGCATCCTGGCATGAAAGATATACTCTTGCAAAAATGAACTTTAAATCGTTATACAGGTGGGAGTAACAGAAGAGCATGAAGTAAGGTAGGCCACTGGAAATAATTTACTCTGTGGGAAAGTCAAAAAGTAACGCGATCATCAACTTTTTCCATACGTAACTGCGGTTTAAGTGAAGACATGTGCGGCCGACACAGTTTATAAATGAGGCCTTTCAGGACTTGGTCTATCATAAACAGTGTGATGCCTGCAAGAAACATTTCGCAGTGTGGGAAGCCGGAAACTTTCACTTTCATCCCAATAAGATAGCGGTTAAGTAGACCGTGTTAACATGGACAGCAAGGTGCAGCAGGCACGGAGACTTGCGCGTGCATTAGTATATGATGAGTATAGACTTGGGCAGCATCTACCGAACTCCCTCCTCCTGCTCCCCATGTGAACCCGGTGTCAAGATATGAGTTAGCTCACCTACTGTATATACATTCCCAAACTTGCTTTTGACTACCGTTTTCAGTGCAGCGAATGCTCTTAATTCCTCACAAACGTATGCAGCAAGCATTTGCGACTCACCTGCAGTAACTTATCTGGATCTTAGTTCGGTATGTAGCCCTCCATTAACTCTTGTATGTACTGCATCCAATCCACTCGTATATGAATTCTTTACTCCCAGTAAATTATTTATGCTTGTATTTTTGAGGAGCCAGATTTCTGAAGTGGATTGCATCAGCATTGCATATTCTATTGTAGGCGATGAATTCCGTTAAACTCTTATGTTGCTCAGAGTAGACGCAGCTCTAGAAACCGCCTTATTATACCGGGAACCGTTCTGCCACTTGCCTTCCAAAGGATCACATTCAAGTCGCCGAGGTTTATCTTACATAGGACATGATCAGTCTTTCCTTGGAAAAGTTTTCATCGTCAAAGGATTCGAGTTTCGCCTCTGAGATGCAATATTAAAACGCTGCTTTTCAAACCCACAGCAGAAGCCTGTGGGGGAGCTGCACCTGATTTTTGTTTTCGGTGTGTGTGCGGGCGAAAAGTCCACCTTCTGGACTCGCATGCTTCTTCTTCAAGCCGAGAGAATAGACCACCGGATAGTCTGCACTTTGTTCGCATTTAAAGAGCCCTATCAGCAGACTTTGTTGTTGCAGCTGGCGTTAACTAAACAAATCACGGAATTTCTATTTAAGCCGGCTTTACAAAAATAATTGTTAAAAATGCCGCCGAAATCTACGATATCACTTAGGTAGGCACTCATTTTTGTCTCTGTATGATAAATAAAGAAAAGTAACAGAAGACGCATTGAAAGAAATTGACTCTGATGGCAGTGGAACCATCAGTGTCGAGGAACTTGCTGCATTCATGGCAGGAATGATGGAGAACTTATCACTGGAGGACGCTAAAAAGGCCATGAAGGATTTAGATAAGGACGGGAGTGGAGAGCTTGATGTTAATGAACTCGAGAACATTATCCGTACTGTAATGGAGCAAGCTCTTGGGGACGACTATCATAATCGTGTCGTCCCTTGAGCAAATGCTTACTTAATGGACATGCAATGGAGACCAGAAAACAATTCCATATACACATATATGCACATTCTGGATACATGGCCACAAATATATGCATGCATATTCAAAGCTCAGAGCTATTGTAATGTATGCACGATTGTTGTTGAGCAAATAGGAAAGTCGTGCAGCACGAAAGCCGAACAGGATGCATCATTATAATAGGAAGCCGATGCAATTTACTGGTTTTCTAGTGAGACTGGTCTGTTCGTAAATACTAATTTGGAAGTTTGGCGAGAAACAAATGCTGATTTTGTCCTAAGACGCACCCAATGGATGAAAGAGTTACTAGCTCTTTCGCTCACAATTTTCTTCATTCGTCTTTCGATGGTATCGTGACTTTTTTACACGGTTGCTCTCATGCCCAGGTTTTTTGCTTGCTTCCCAAAATCTGCTGCTAATCTGTGCCGTCGTGTACGGTTAACTTGCAACTGCGCGGTTTTAAAGGCCAGCCAAGCAGAGGATAAAAGTTAACACCGAAGGGTTTCCGATAGTGCCGATATAGAGGAACAGAGAAGAATTTTAAGCGGTGACTTGTAACTGTGCTATGTACACATATAATAGAAAGAGGGGAAATTCATTGGGGCAAAAGAGCTTTTATTTCGATAGTAGTGAAAATGCGATTCCCGGGTGGTAAATCAAATGTAAATGAGGCGTTCACCGGTAGAGGTGTATAGGCGGTCTGACGTTTCGAGTAGTTGCTTAGTCTACCCATCTTCAGAGACTGGAAAGTCATGCACACAGCCTTCCTTATATGGTGCACTGTTTTGATGCGTGGCCCGCTAATGACGTCTGTGTAGCTGCATTCGACACGCATGTCACCGTGACCTGAATCGCCGCCGACCTCGTCGTCAGCGGAGATAATTGACGGGCCTGATTGTCCCGCGCCGTGACTGCCCCCTGTTAAGAAGGTTCGTAAAGTCAGATAGGAGGGAGACAAATTGATGTTGCGGTTGACAGAGCAGTCGGTAGATATCCAGGATTCTTGCACCTGCCCTGATGTATGATAATCTCTCCGGCCCGCAAATCTCAACGGCCTCAAAGTTGAAGGTGTGTCCCTGCGGTAGCTATACCATGACAACTGTCGCTGAAGGGGACATTGATGACAACAAAAACTTTCGGGATGCCAACTGTGCGTCTAAAAATAAACGACAGCGCCCTATTGATCGTAATAAATGCATCATCGTAAAGGGTATGCCTGAGTCTTCTTCAGACATCCCAAAGAACAGAATAAGCCACGATATAGAATTATTCCAGCAATACCTCAAATCACTATTACAAGAGAACGAGAACATCACCGTATTGAAAGCTTTCAGGATAGGACCCATTAAGGATTTGGAGGGCGAGTCGGGCCATCACAGACCATTAAAATTATTCTCGAAAGTGAGGAACAAGCACTATTACTGTTGAATAGGAAACCAGCACTGCGAAATGCCCACCCAACAATTTTTTTTCAACGGGATTTCTCACCGGCCGAACGGGAGAAATGGAGGGAACTCAAGGCCGAACTCCTCAGAAGATACAATGCTGGCGAGAAAAACCTAAGAATAATGAATGGCAAAATCGTAAATGTTCGGAGCTCATTCCTCTGGAAACAACCAATAACACTGAGCATAATGAACAACCAGATAAAAAGGAAACAACGCCCCTATCTGACAAACCGATCAGAGAAAACGACGGACAACACACTAACATCCAGTCCAATCAAACAGCAGTAGACTCGGAAGAGGACGATAGACCCGAAAACTCGCGCGAAGTATCCAGCAACTTCGGCCCAAGAATCGTTCGGGAATCTGCCCGGTCTAAGCTCCGCTTTCTTTATGCAAATGCTCAGAGTTTGTTTCATAAGCTAGATGAGCTGAAAGTATGGATAACAGATACGCAGCCGGATGTCATTTCTATCACAGAGACTTGGTTCCAGACCGAAGTCTTGGATGCCGAAATAACACTTGAGGGATACCAACTTTTTCGCCGGGACAGACTGCATAGAAAAGGAGGAGGAATAGCGGTCTACGTCAAGAGAGCAATCATCGCGTCGGAACACAAAACCGATTGCTCCGGCGACTGTGAAGCAATGTGGTTAAAACTGAGGATGCGTGGCGCACCTAATTTGAATTTTCTGACCGTATACAGGCCGCCCAATCAAACTGATGAGGTTGACGAGGCGATGTTTGGGCTAATTAAAGAGGTGTCACAAAACCAAGAGGTACTGATAACTGGAGATTTCAACGCACCCGTGGTCGACTGGAACAATTTATTAGTAAATGGTTCGAGAAATTCGTTTGATTCCAGGCTCTTGAAACTAACGGCTAATCTCTTTCTGGTACAAAACGTCACGTTCCCAACCAGGATCAGAGCGGACCAAGGAGCAAATTGTCTGGACCTCGTCCTTACAAAAGACGCGATTAGCCCTGGCGAACTTAGGTTCATAACACCGCTCGGTAAGAGTGACCATGTCATGCTGTTTTGGGAATACCGCCTATGCAGCCAACAAGCGAATACGACTGAGCCTAGACTGAATTTCTGGCGAGGAGATTTTGCCGCCATGAGAAGGGAATTATCGGCAGTGGACTGGGATGACTTTCTTTCCGGACATCCAGACGTTGATCGGAACGCTCTCAAAGGAGTTGTTACAGACATCATGCATCGAAACTGTCCGACAAAGAGAGTCAAAAAGAATAATCGTCCTGCCTGGATAACAAGGGATATAAAGAAAGAAGTAAACCGGAAAAACAAACTATGGCGAAGGTATGCAACAACAAAACAGCCATCCCATTACGAGCAATTTCGTCGAAAGCGAAACGAGGTAAGGGGGGCTATCCGCAGGTCGCGGAAGGAGTATGAAATGCGAGTTATGGAACGGGCCGTCGATAAGCCAAAAGTGCTCTTCAGTTACATAAACAGTAGGTTAAAGAACAAGGAGACGGTCGCAGTGTTGAAAGGAGAAAACAATGAGGATATCATCGAAAATGACGCTAAGGCAGAAAATCTAAGCCGGTTTTTCGTATCGGTTTTCACCGATGAAACGGACTTTGACGAGGCTGGATCTCCTGATGGGACAACCGACGAAATAATAGAAAACATCGACTTCACGGAAGAAGATGTGAGGAAGGAACTTCTAGCGCTTAAGGAGGGCAAGTCTCCGGGCCCAGACCAAATTCCGGCAAAAGTGCTGAAGGAGTTGTCTTGCGAACTCGCCAAACCGCTTTGGCACATCTTTAGGTCCTCCTTTGACCGAGGCATTCTCCCCTCTGATTGGAAAGTGGCGAACATATACCCCATTCACAAGGGCGGATCCAGAACAAGTACAAACAATTATCGGCCGGTGAGCCTAACGTGCATTTGTTGCAAAGTCATGGAGAGAATAGTCAAAAAATCCAAAATGAAGTTCCTTGAAGAAAATAATTTCTTTGCTAGTTCTCAGCATGGCTTTCGACGAAATCACTCCTGCCTAACTAATATACTTCATTCAACGGAACAGTGGTCTCGCTCGTTAGACGCAGGAACAAAGGTCGATATCGTTTACATAGATTTCAAGAAAGCCTTTGATAGTGTTCCACACCACCGGTTACTTTACAAGGTCCGAGAGTCAGGGATAAGGGGAAACCTATTAAACTGGGTAAAGGACTTTCTGACTGGTCGATCACTGTCTGTGTGTATTGGTAATGCGAAGTCAACACCAGTGCCAGTTGTGAGTGGAGTTCCGCAGGGCTCCGTACTCGGACCAGTACTATTTTTAATTTATGTCAACGACTGTATGAATGGACTGGACTGCAATGGAGTCATATTTGCTGATGACATCAAGTTATGGCGAGCGATCAACGGCGAACATGATGAACGGGCCCTGCAAGAAGGACTGAACCGCCTATGCGAATGGTCTGACAAATGGCTGTTAAAGTTTAACCTAGAGACGTGCGTCGCGCTGCGACTCAAAACGACTGGAAGATCTGACGGAGAAGATCACCATTACCAACTAGGTGGAAGGTGCCTTTCAAATGTAACCGAACAAAAAGATCTTGGGGTTAACATTCTGTCGACCCTTAAGCCTTCATCTCAGTGTGTTAGGGCGTCCAAAAGAGCAACTAGTGTTCTCTTTGCCATTAAACGATCTTTCGTGGACATAGACAAAGAGTTATTTGGAAAAGTATACGGAGCGTTCATTCGCTCGCATCTGGAATATGGAATCCAAGCGTGGCGCCCGTGGCTAAAAAAGACAATAAGTTGCTATAAAGAGTTCAGAGGAGAGCAACAAAAATTGTAAAAGGCCTCAGGACTTTACCTTACAACTGCCGACTTAGGAACTTAAACTTTTTCCTCTTGAGTACAGGCAGGTTCGAGGAGATCTCATACAGGCCTATCGGATATTGAGGAACCGGGAATGTGCACTAAACCCCGACGATTTCTTCACCCTGGCCACAACAACAAACCTGCGTGGGAACTCTCTTAAACTTAGAGGATCCCGATGCCGCCTGGACGTTCGCAAATACTGTTTTTCACAGCGAGTCGTCGATGCCAGGAACGGGCTTCCCGAGGACGTAATAATGGCGGATACCACGGAGACGTTCAAGCAAAGACTCGATGCATATTTGCTTGGACACTATCGCTTGTCTGAACAGAACAGCTCTGTGGTGCTAAACCAACGCCTTGCATACTCATACCGCTAATGCGGATGACTGTCATTACATTTTACTGAAATCATCTACAACTGAATGTTCTCAAGTTTTGGTTCTACATTTTCACGGAAATATTCTGCTAAATGTGCATATTACTGACAACATTTCAGTAACATGTTTATTTATATTGAAATATCGCATGTGCCGTTTACAATAGGGTTTTCAAAGGCATTGCCTATTACTCTTAAATAAACTGACTGACCTACCTCTGACTTTGGGTTCAATCTTCGCACGGCCAACTTATGTTCGTGAATTCGCGTTTGCAGCCGTCGGACGGTTTCCCCAACGTAG